TTGATTACGGAATTTGTATGAGCAAACCCCAGGCATAAGTCAAAAGGAGCTATTCAGATGGGCTGCCTTACTTCTGAACTGTTGACTTACAAGAGCTTCCACTTAAACTTCACTCCCATTTCCTCACAAGGTCGCTCCCATCCAGTGAAGTCAGATGAGATAAGCTCAGGATTCTGCACTATTGAAATTCTAGAGTGAAATTATGGCATAGCTGGTGTGTGTGTGTGTGGGGGGGGGGAACGGACACATTTCAGCCCTGGGGCCACCTTCAATTTTGAAGACACTCTTGAGGGCCCAATTCCAGTGGTGAGCAGAGCCAAAAGCAAAGGGGGCAAAACTGAAAGCAAAAGCAATGGAGCCAAAATTCCAAAACTGCCAGGACAGTTTAACTGAAAGCTCCAACTAAACCTTAGGAGGTACATTTCAGCCTTTATGATAGGAGACACAACCTGTGTAACAGCTGGAAAGCCATCAATGATTAGCTGTTAGGGGTAAGATGTGGCCAAAAAGGGAGTGTGGCCATCTTGGGAACTCCAGAGCTGTACTGGTACTCCAGGGGGACCAGATTTCACCTGAGGTTCCCACCTCTAGCAAAGCATATAGGAGATCAAGAAGTCACCCAGGAATTTATTTATGTATTTAAACCATTTCTATGCCACTCCATTCGCAAAAAGCCTCGGGGCGGCTTACAACAGCAATAAGGAAGCCCCTGTTTCAAATGTTGCCAAACAAATGCATGAATGAGCTACCTTTAGCAAGGTGCTGTTTCTTTAGTACACAGGAGGAGGAGCAGGAGATAGGTGGATCAGGAAGTCACTGATCTGCTGAAATCAGACCTCAGCTCCAAGTCTGAACCAGAGCCTGTTAACCTTTTAAGCCAGAGCCCCCACCTTCAACCAGGGCACACACACTGATCCAGCATCTTCTGAGGCATTTTCCCCTCAAGAACTGCTTCCTGTTACGCCAGTGGCTTCATGCTACCTGATTACCAGCACAGTCAATGAAAAGGCAGGCGCAGGAGACCTGCTATGTGTCTGCCCAGAGGGCTACCCCAGTAAGAATGCCCAAGCTTCAGGAAGCAAGCGAAGTCTGGAAGGGAAAGTCTGGACTGGGACAATGGCAGATGGCCGGAAATGTCAAGTTGCCTGCTTGGAGCTATCCAAGGTCCTGCAACTTCTGCCCTGCACGACATGCCTGCCAAAGCCACACATCAAGTCTCTTTTCCACCACATGGACACCTCACAGGCAGGATGGGACACTGCTGCTTCAGGCCCCCATCCGCAATATTTGTATGCCACCCAATTGTGCCACAGCACCTCTGGGCGGTTCACAACACAAGATTAAAATACAATAAAATAGAATATAGAAACAGTATCGTATATAGAAGTTCTTTCTGACAGGTTGTTCATTAAGCATTTTGATCATTGTGCTAGATATGCCTTCCTCTATGACCAATACAGGTCATTAGGAAAGAGTAGCATGACGTACATAACATTACATCATCTAACAATTCAGGAATTCAGTGGATCTCTTCTTAAAAATCTCCTCGCTCTCCACGTTACAACCGCTAATGTGGAAAAGTCAACTTTAAGCCAGAGTTAGCATATTAAGAGTCAGTATGGTTTCCCTGCAAGCAAGGGCACTGAAACTAATCTGATTTACTGTTTAGACATGCATGTCAGTTACTTGTTTCTTGAGCAAGAGGATGAAGGAAGCAATCAGGGTGGCTTGAAAAGATGTTTTCCAAGAGGAAGACTTCTCCATCCTGAGATGCCTATAAAGGATGGGATATAAATGCTTTAAATAAATGAATAAATAAATAAGGCAGGGAGCATTTGCAAGTCAGAGAGAAGCAGTTGAAGAAGAGGGTAGGTAAGGCACGCAAGCAGCTGAAGGATCTCTGAGTTGCTGACATTTTGCTGAAACCCTGACAGGACACTTCCTCTTCCACTGAAACCACTGCTTCCAGTTCCAGAATGGTACTGTAGGTTTAGCACACACTGGTGCATATGTACATAATCGATGCATTGAAGGAGACAGTGTATATGTACATAATCAATCTGAAAACATCTGGGATATATTGGCAGAAATAGCACAAGGAGGACAGGTCAGGGTGTGCTTCCTGTGGCACACTGTTAAGTCAGCCATTAGAATACTGAGTATTTATTTATTTATTTATTTATTTATTTATTTATTAAAAGCTTTTCCACCACTGATGTCTCAGGACAGCTTACAAAGAAAGAACAAATAAAGTAAAATAAAACCAAGCCTAGTACAGATCGCTTCTTTGGCTGCAATCCTATGCCCAATTTTCTGGCTAAGAGTCATTGAACTCAACGGGTCTTACTTCTGAGTAAAAGTAAGATCACACTGTTCTCATTTGTTTCATGCAGCCATTATACAGTCAGTTGGCATGAGGAATAACTGCAGTAAAATTCAAATAGCTGAGCTCTGCAATGTATAGCAAGCTATTCATGCAAGTTTCTTTCTGTCCCTTTTCCCATTTTGTTTATATTCTGTGATCTAATAGAGCTTTATATCATTTCAGTTGTTAATAACCCCTCTGTTATATAACTAATCCTTTTCTTAAATCTTATTAATTTGTTGGCCTTAATAATGTCTTCTGGCCATTCAGTATAATGCATTTATTTTTAAAAATAATCATCCCACAGTAATGCAAAGCAGCCACACGGCCCTGGGTTGTATCATAAGCCTATTGATCACTAAGGAGCAGTTCTGTCCCTTAGATGAAATGGGAAATGTTCGATGCAAATAAGTGAGATTCAGAGAGTGAATTTGGTATTTGTTTAAGTGCATTTTTAAAGCTTGCCAGACCATACCAGTTCAGCATTAAAATGTTCAGCTTTCATTTCTGAGAGGACAATTATAAAGGGGTGTCATCTAGGATAACATTAGAAAAATAACAAAGGAATGAGAAGATTGTATTGCATTTAGAAAATGGCTACTATTGGCAAATTAGGGGATATGGACCTAATGACAAGCACTTGCTGTGAAAGCTGGCAGTGAGCGAGGTAGACATGTAGAATGGGCTGAGAACCTGTTCACACATGCATGAGAGTAAGCCCTACTAAATTTGGTGGTGCTTACTTCTAAGTAAATGCACATGGCTTTGCACTGTGGTTCTAGGACCTGCTTACTCATAAGCATGCATTTGCAGTGGCAATTTATTACCGGATGAGTCCCGGCTGCTGAGCATTCGCAGGGGATAACTGCCGGACAACCAGCTGTAGCATCCTCCTGTTTATGCTGATTGAAGGAGACAGTGCAATTGCTTGAGGTGTAGAGTTTAACTAGTTCTGTCGGGCAGAAATATCTGGATGGAGTGCCCTTTTGAAAAGCAAAACCATCCATCCTCCTCTGCACACTTCAAGGAGCTATGGGGCATGTGATAATATGTCTCAAGGAGAAGCAGAAAGGAACAGCAGTAGTTTATTCACCACCAAAGTGGCAGTACAAACGATGCATGCCAGTGCTTTGCTAGTAGTAGTAACCTGCTGCTGTTTGGGAAAGCATACCTCGGCAACACCCGATGGCTACTTGACAGCCCCAGGCACCAATGCACTGCCCCCCGCAACACACATCTTTGTGGGCACCCACCAAGGTGCCTTACCTCTTCTACCTTTTCTTTTTAATTAACGTGTTTCTGGGACTGCTGTGCAATTAGTTTCTGTTGATGCTGAAAACCATGGATTCAAAGGAGTTGTTCGCTGTGTTATAGCTGTGATCCAGTTCTTCCTTGTACTCAGTTTTTTTGGGCAGGATATTTAACCTTTGCCACACCTCCCATGGCATCCATTTTGTGACAATGCTCAGGGCAATTTCTCAAACTGCCAAATGGACCACAGCCTAAGAAGGTTAGCTAGGCCTGCTCTGGAACATACATCCCTCTCTGACACCTAATGCAATGGTTGTATTTTTATTGTTGTTATTTAGAGTTTTTAGTAATTGCACACACTTTTTCCATGTATGACATCTCTACAGCTATCTCTATAGCTACCTTTTATATAAATAATATTGCAAGGAAGAATGCCATGTAGGGTATGCCCTGCCCCTTCCCAGGATAAAAGCATACTCCATTCCGATTCCTATCACTCAGTTCATCAGTCCCCACCCTGATCAGCTCACCTGCCTTCTACAGTCACTAAATTCATTGCAGTGTCAGGGTGGTAGTGTGTTTTTTTGGGGGAGGGGGCTCCTTTCCTCTTAGAACTTTTGTTTTCCACAGCTTTTTTGTACTTCTTCAAACCTTGGGGTTTCCCTACATATACTGATACCTCTTTCTTCTGTGTTGTTATTGCCAGTTTGGCTATATAAGGGTCTGCAGTGCCTGTTAGTATATAGGATGAACATATGTATTCCATTTATTTAAACTCATTTAATAATCATTTCAGGCTTCTCTTCATGATGCATTGGCCAACAGTCAGTGACTGGCCCAAGGTCACCGTGTGGGCTTATTTATTTACTTATTTATTAGATTTATATCCTTTTTTCTTACAATGAGCTCAAAGCAGCTTACATAATTTTCCTGCTCCTGCTCTCAATCTTATTCCTACAACAACCCTGTGAGGTAGATTTGGTTGACAGTCTGTGACAGGCCCAAAGTCACCTATTTGGTTCCATGGCTGAGTTGGGGCTAGAACCCAGATTGCTCCCAGTCCTGTGTTCTTATAACAAAGAACTCCTGAGTCCCGTTCAAACTCTCTAACAACTGGAATGCCTTATTTGTATAACAGTTAGAGGGAACATGACATTTGATGCAATTCTGGATTTCAGTGCAAAGAATGGAATTATGAACAAGCTTCTAAAAAGGGAGGGAGTCAGAATTATTGCTTTGCCTAAATGTGGAGGGTACTATAGCCTCCTTAGCATTTAAAACCTCTGCTTCTCAGTTCTGATGTTGATTCCTTCTGTATCTAAGTAGCATATAGCTCAAAAGGAACACAGGGGAAAATGTTTTCTTGTTTCTTGTGTCTCTGCAGAGAATTATTGGAATGCAGCATCATTTGTTAAACAGTCTTCATATCTCCACTTCTCCACCTTCCAAGGAGAAACTAGTGCTGATATTTCTTTCTATTTCAAAACGGCGGCCCCTGATGGAGTGTTTCTTGAGAATCTGGGGAATGCAGACTTCATCAAACTTGAGCTAAAATGTAAGTTTATTCCCAGCATTAGTGATGATATTAGAGGTAAAGTGCTGAGCTTCTACTCTTCTACATGTTCTGTAAAACCAACAACTCATCAATGCAGTACCAATAAATGACTGGGTCTCTTTGCTCTGTTTGCTTTTTAGGATGAGTTTTAAACTCTGAAGGACAGATTTAACATTTAATTTTTAGATTATTATTTTAATTATGTTGATATCTTACCTTTCCTCCAAGGAGTTTAAGGCATATATATGTTTTTCATCACTGCTATCACTTCCACCTCAAATTTAATCTTGCCACAGCTCTACAAGGAACTTTAGGCTGAGAACTGTGAACATTATAACTGGGCACAAGTTTGAACCTGGCTCTCCCTATGCTTAACCAATATACTCCATCAGTTCCCAGTGCTGTTAGTGCACACTAACCTGACACTCCAGGGTCTTCAGGCTAAACTTCAGTTGTTCTGACCACCAGGCAAGCCTAACCAAGAAACTTTTACAGGGATCTGGAAGTTTCTCCTGTCTATTGTACCCAGACTTCCTTGGGTGTTAATCAATTAATTAATTTCTACACTGCCCATAAGGCAAAAACAAACTGCACAAAATAAAATAATAAAATCAGTAACATTAAAATTGAATATCTGTAATAGAAAAACAATAGCAGGCCTACAACAACTGCATTCAAGTAAGTTCAATGGTACAGCAGCAGAACAAAAAATACAACATAAACACAGAGTTAAAATTGGTTTTAAAAGAATTCAAATCATTTAATTATTGTGATCCACCCAGAGATAAATAAATAAACTATTTCATTATTAGGTAAATAAAAAGGTTTTTGCCTGGCACCAAAAGGAATAGAGTAGGCATCAGGCACACCTCTTCAGGAAGCTGATTCCACAGATGGGGTGCCACAGTTGAAACGGTCCTTCTGCTTATTGTGACCCTCTTTATTTCCTTAAAAGGGGCTCACTGAGAAGGATTTCAGACTATAACCTCAAGGTCCAAGTAGGCATATATAGGAGAGGGTGTTCCTTTAGATTTAAAGCCATTTGGGGCTTTAAATATTAGTGTTAGCACTTTGAATTCGGAATGAACTTCAACAAGTAACCAGTGAAGTTGGCAGAGGACTGGCATAATGCATTCATATCTTCCAGTCCTTGCCAGCAGCCTCACTGCCCTAATAAAATTTTGTTGACTATGTTGTGAGCCACCCAGTGAGCCTGTGGCTTATGGAGTGACATATAAGCCAAATGACCAAATATTAAATATTTTTAACCAACTGAAGTTTCTGGACCATCTTCAAAGGCAACCCCACATAGAGTGCATTACTCTATGCATAGAGTGCATTATTACATAATCCAAATGAGAGATTACCAGAGCATGGATGGCTGTTGCTAGGCTCTGCCTCTCCAGATAGGGTCGCAGCTGGTAAATCAGCCTGAGCTGATAGAAGATGCTCCATGCCACTCTTGCAACAGTTCAGGGTATAGGAGTACCCCCACATTGCAAACACTGTCCTTTAGGGGAAGTGCAATACCATTCAGGACAGGTTGATTGTCACCCCGTTGAACAGATGATCGCCCCACCAAGAGCACCTCCATTTTATCTGGATTAAGTCTCAATTTATTAACCCTCTTCCATTACCAAGTAGGTTGGCTAGGTTGGCTCACCTCCCTACAGTTCCCTCCTTTTGCCAAAGCTGGATAATACCACCTTTCAGTCAACAGAACAGGTTCTCCTGCTTTCTCATATGATTCCATCTTTCAAACATTGCCAGCAAGGCAGTGGAGTCTGCCATCAGTAAGCCTCAACCATGTTCCTATGTCAGCATATGACTCAGGTAACTGCAAGCTTTGCTTCAGCACATAAAGGTAATATATGGTTTGCAAATTACACTCCTTGCAATCAATCATTGAACCCTTGAAAGCTAGTTAAGACAGAAGTTGCACTAGCTGCGCACATTAGACTAGAGAGCAGGTCAACATTCCCTTATAATGGTATGACAATGAAGGGAACTATATGGTGACAGAACCTTCTTCAGCTTGTTAAATGTGCACAAAACTCAGGTGTATTCCTCCAACTATAAACAAGGCCTTCATGTACTATAAGCTAAACCACAAACTTTATAGCCTGAGCGAAAAGAATATACTTGTGATTGGAAAAATCTGCTTTTCGAAAGCTGACAAGAGGTGCTGTCACAAAGAACACATTGATAAATGCAGCAAGGAGTGTGGCTAAAGTGTGTGGCTGGCCCATTTATCATACACTTCTCCTTCCCGCTTTTTCAACTTGTCAGCATCCAAAGATCAGATGGCAAAGATGGAGAATTACCTCAGACTCCATTTTACATACCTCAGAAAATTTGCAGAACATAATTACTTTCACAGCTGATGGTCAGTTGACACCTTCAAGGTAACTTAAGTATAAATCATTTTCAGAAAACATAGTCACTCATCCTTTTATTAGTTTCACTGGCTTTTCTTTCATGTGTTCTTTGCAATTTTATGCCTACACTTTTTTTCAGTAAACTTAACAAGGAGACAGTATTCAGATGCCTGTGCTTATCTTGAGCATTAATCTATCAGTGTTATCTAGAGGTAACACAGAGCCCACACATTGCAATCCAGAAAATCCTTTGCTTTAAAAAAATTAGAAATTTACTGCTAATAATAATAATAATCAGTTTGGCATAAACTCACAAAGAGTGGTTCAGAGATTGCAAAGACAATTTGAAATAAATGTGTGATCAGTTTGTAGCCTATACACATCCATCAGCACACACACACATGCACACACATAAGACACAACAGCTTCCAGGATAAATGAATGCTGGTAATATTTTCCCATCAAATGCTGTATAATGCTTCCAGGGGAATAAATCAGTAGCATGCACATTGTAATTAGTCATACGTTTACTGATGAATTGTTCTGGGCCTTTTCCATTTTCACCAGTTTCATACTAGCTCTTTCATCTCCATTTTTTCTTGTAACAAACAATAACAACAGTGGTATTTCTCTGCAACTCCTGTACGGAGCATGTTTCTTTGTCGAGTCAGTCATGTTGATCTGATATGCCAGCTGTCTGCAAGCTGCACTGGGATTGCGACTTACCCCATCCTGTCTCCTGCTTGAACATGAACATCAAGGCAGGAATTAGTAGCAGGAGCAATTTCCAAAAAATCATCTCTGATGGGCATCTCTTTCCTATGTTACTTTTGCCTTGTTCCTAAGCTAGCATTCAATTGCAAAGCCAGACATATCTGGACATGCTTGGAGGTTCTGGTTTGCACCAGCGTCTTCATCAATTGATGGTTGCCACATCAGCATTGACTTGCATATGTGAGCAAGACTTTGCAGATTAAAACCCATGGATTGAACTTTTATACAGATTCATATCGTCATGAATGTAATCATTTTCAATGGAGTCAATACATTCATGCTGTAAATCATCAAGAACAAAGACTTCTAGTGAGAGAGAGTCCAAGTGATGTACATGCATATATGAACCAGCATTCAGACTCATGGGAGTATTACTTCATGCTGTGAATTGATTGCTTCTGCCTGAAAGGATGATTGTTCTGTGATGACTGAGAGGTGGTGACCATTTATGAGCTGTGGAGTGGCATCTCCTGAGTTAAGGAAAGTTTTCTGGGCACTTGCAATCATAGACAAAAGTTGCCTCCATAATTAATCCCTTTCATTTTGCATATATAATGTACAGTATAAATGTATCTGTGTGGTGAATTTTCCTTCAGAGTTTTCAGGGGGGTTTTTCAGTGACTGCCACCGTGAAAATAAATATAAGGCAAAGAATTGTCTGGGGAACAAGAACCAAGGCAATTAGTAGCCTGATGGACAACTGGTGGTCAGATCTTGCCTGCATAGCAATTTTGTCTGGTTCCTATTGACAACAAATTTGATTAAGATGTAGTAATGTCTCTTTGGATTTTGTTTAATGGCCCAATTATGCATGCGTACATGGGTTCTATAACTCAGCAAAGATGATTATTGAGCTTATTACGTAGCTTGGTAATCCATAAAGACATGGAGTTATGCGGCCACATATGTTTCCATACCCTAAATGACGTCATGGAGAATACAGTGGTTTATGTGAATGCTGGAGTTATAGTATTATTTTAGTATTGTTATTATATTTGCACACCACATTTTTCCTTGTACAAGGCAGTTTTCATAACCCTCCTCAAGGAAGTAGAATTTAACCTCACATATATTTATGTTTCTTTTTACATCAGTAAATGCTCTTTCCTGACTACCACCACTGCTTTAAAAAAAAGTTTCATGGAAAGGTTAAGGAGATGTTGTCCTAGTTCAGAGCAAATAGCATTCTTAAGCCTTTTTTCAGGAAACAAGTTAGCTGTAAGAGAAAATCAATAGGAAAGGGTTGCCAACACCACTGATATTTATTAAGTAAGTTTAGAATTCTTCGCCTTTGAAAATGATAATTCAAGTGACAATATTTCCCACACAGTGGAGACTCATGATTTATATTGCCGTGTTCAATAAACTTCTAGAATTCAATAGAGACTACCTATGAAACACTGTGGTAACCCAAACACATTTTGACTTGACATATATGCCAGTCCTTTTCCTTCAGTATTTCATTGTGTGCTAGTTATATTAGGGATCTCCAAACTTTTTGGGTTGGTGGACACATTTGGAAAGTAAGTGTTGTGTACACTTTCATAATATGGCTGCCACAGGCTGGATTGACATAATATGGCAGCCATGATGGGCACAATGGGGCACAAAACAGCCATTTCCCAAAAGGCCAATTTGTGAGACTAAAACAAGAGTAACTTGCCCAGGAAACAAAGCAAAAGGCAGAAGTGTGTTCTTGACTTCTAAAATACAAAACCACTTCTTTGAACCCAAGTAAAGCAGCAGCTGGAGGGTGTTGAACAATATCTTTGCAGCATGCCAGCCTCTCAGCTTATATATATAAATATAAATGTTTAAGAAACAAAATAAAAATCAGGAGGGGCATAC